TCCTGCCTAGGCAGGAGGTTGGACTAGAAGACCTCCAAGGTCCCTTCCAACTCTGCTATTGTATTTGTATTGTATAACCCTTGAAGAAAAATGTGGGTTCTCCAGGGATTGGAGATGTATCTTGAGATCCATAGGTGCATAGCAATTCCCATTCCTCTCTGCTCAGTCAAGTAGGCTTCCCTGGTGATGGCTGGACAGAACAAATGATGGAACCCACCAGGGAAAATATTGTCTCCCTTGTCCCACCTCTCTGGAGCTTCTCTATCCAGCTGCAGTTGTTTAGGAAGATAGTGTTCAATTCATGTCCCTGTTTTCTTCTGTTCCATGCAGGGGTCACCCTTTGGGACTACAGTTCTCTTCAGAAGGACCTGACCATCAAGCCTCAGCCCAGCATAGCATCGGAAATCATTACGTCTGACAGCATCGATGACAAGGCCTCTTCCCTGGATGTCGACGCAAACATCAAAGCCAGCTTCATGGGGGGGCTGATTGAAGTGGGAGGGTCAGCCAAGTATCTTCACAATGCCAAGAAGTCCAAGAAACAGGCCAGAGTCACCCTTCAATACAAAACCACCACCAAGTATGAACAGCTGACAATGAGCCAGCTAGGAATCCAGAATATCTCTTACCCAGCCGTCTTTGAGCAGGGCACAGCCACCCATGTGGTCACCGCCATCCTCTATGGAGCCCAAGCTTTCTTTGTCTTTGACCAAGAGATTTCTTCAAAGGAGACAGTACAAGATATTCAAGGAAGTCTCCAGTTATCAATCAAAGAGATGATATCTGTCTCGGGAGAAGGAAAGGCCAAAGTGAAAGAAGAAATGAAAAAGAATGATTCAAAACTTAATTGCAAGTTCCACGGAGACTTTTCTTTGGAGAAAAGTCCAGTGACTTTCATAGATGCCATGCAAGTTTATGAAAAGCTCCCAGAATTCTTAGGGAAAGATGGGGAGAAGGCTGTGCCTATGAGAGTCTGGCTCTATCCTTTGACCAAGCTGGACACAAAAGCAGCTAAGATGGTCCGTGAGATCAGCCTAACATTGGTCTTTGATGCTGGAAAGATCTTGGAGGAACTCAATGAAATCCAGATGCAAAGCAATGACCTAGCCCTGAACGACACTGCTCAGACCTTCCCGGAGATCAAGAGGAAGATCCGGCAGTTCAAGGATCTCTGCAAGCAACACCGGCAGACTTTCCAGAAACAGCTGGCTAAAATATTGCCTTCCATCCGAGGAGGAGGAACGGAGGAACAGAAACTGGAGGACATCTTGACAGAGGTAAACCAGTCTCCCTTCAACAGCGAAAGACTCCGTGAATTTCTGGACACCAAAAAAAAAGAAATTAACTTTATCAAATCTTATCTGACTATTCTAAATAATATAGAAGTGATCTCATCTCAGAACAAGATGGAAGAATTAGTTCTTGACCCCGGGAATTTATATGTTGTCTCCTTCATATTTACTTCTCTGCATGAACACGAGTCATTTCTCTTGAGCTTACAGAAGGAATTATCGCCAAAATCAGATAAGTCCACAAACTCCCCTCCTGAGGGGAAGAAAGGCCTGGCCTGGTTTGAGGACAAGGAGAGGACCCGCAATGCTCGCCGAGCAGCCAAATCCATCAGAGACTTTTTCAGTATCAACCAATCCAAGGAGAAGGCCTGCTTTGTTGTGGCCTCTCTCCCAGATGTGGACAACCCAGGAGCCTCAGTATATCTTTATGAAGATGGAGAGCTAGTCAGCAAGAACTTTGAGTTGCCCTCAAAACCTCTCCCTTTCCTGGTGAGTGAACTGAGACATGACAGCATTCAGCTGAAGTTTCAGCCAGTGGAATATGGAAAGGCTGCAATCTCCAGCTATCTGGTAGAGTACAAGGTTGCAGGGGAAGAAAAATGGAAGACCGTGAGGACAGAGGACGCCAGGGAGATGTTCCTGCTGAAAGATCTGCCTCCAAACACAGAGTACCAGTTCAAGTATGCTGCTTGTTGCAAGGTAGGCCTTAGTAAATCCAGTGACCTGAGCCCACCCATAAAGACCCTTCCCACCAGCCCTCCTCAGAAATTGAGAATGGTCACTGCAGCATCTTNCCAGCTTCTTCTGCAGCCATCTTGCCATGCTGCCACCCCACTCCGATTCAGAGGGCAAATCTCCGACCTGCGAGGGACCTGTTTCCGCCCCCTGGGTCTGATGAGACACTGCCCCTTCTTCCCCCCACTCCAGGGTGGTTCTGATCTAAAAAAGATCTGAATTTGTTTGTCAGACAGGGTTCACGTGAGGGTCTTGAGAACTCACACCCCCCACATCTGTCCAGCTGGAGAACGTCCGGTCGAATCCCCAATAGGACTTTCTGGAGTAGGGTAGGGTAGGATATGGTGTAGTAGAATCAAATAGAACAGAACAGAAGTTTAGTATAGCATATAGAGTAGAGTTTAGAGTAGAACAGAACAGAACAGAGTTTATAGAGTAGAGTGTAGAGTAGAATAGAGTAGAGTAGAAGAGAACAGAGACGAGCAGAACAGAACAGAACAGAATAGAAAATAACTGTAAAGGACCTTGGAGGTCTTCAAGTCCAACCCCCTGCTAAGGCAGGAAACCCTACACCAGTTTTAACAAATAATTATCCAATCTCTTTGTAAAAACTTCCAGTGTTGGGGCATTCACAATTTCTGGAGTCAAGTTGTTCCACTGATTCATCGTTCTAAATGTCAGGAAATTTCTCCTCAGTTATAAGTCGCTTCTCTCCTTGATTAGTTTCCACCCATTGCTTCTTGTTCTACCCTCCAGGTGCCTTGGAGAATAGTTTGACTCCCTCTTCTTTGTGTCAACCCCTGAAATATTGGAACACTGCTATCATGTCTCCCCTAGTCCTTCTTTTCATTAAACTAGACATATATATGGCTCATATTTAAATGGTTGTCCACTACGACTCCAAGATCCCTTTCACAGTTGCTACTATTGAGTAAGGTAGCATCTGTACTGTACCATTTTGTTAGATGGCGCTCAATGTTCACAAGGATACTATTAAAAGGATGTAATTAAAATGATCTTTACCTGAGGAGTTGGGGATTTTGGCCACTCAAAGACTTCTGCACTGCCACCAGTTGTGCTCTGGGACTGCTGCTCCTACCGCAAGGGTCCCTGTGGAGTGTTTCTTACTCAACCAATCTCGAACGTGGACCATGATCAGTGGGGGGAATGTGGCTTGTGCCCACATCCTGCATCTCTCACAGAGTCAACCGTCAGTTTTTGCCTCCTCCAGATGTTTCTCCTCTCTTGTAGGGCAGCAGAAGCATCGGCAATTGCAGGAGATGAGCATGGACCTGGAAAAGGACACCATAGAGATAGCTGCCCTGGGCCGTCCCCTCCGGCTGGGGACGTTGTATGACTGCCACAAGGATGCGCTCATCCCAGGTAGGAGCTGGAGGAGAGGATAATGGGTCTCTGGAAGGAAGGAGGGAGGGAGAGGGAGAGAGACAGGCACTGTCTCTCTCCCTCAACCCAGGGACAGAGTGGAGCACCTGGGTTCATAGCCTGCTAGTAGCAGCTAGCTAAATAGGACCTCCTAGCTGGGAATGCATATCCAACCCTTCACCAAGCATGTAGCAGGACTGGCATTGATTACCCA